CCCTAGGAAATACGTGAGGATTATCTTTTGTTCACAGGGAGAGAAAGGGCCTCAGGTCCTTCTTTGCATCTGTGAGCAGGAAAGTCTGGGCCCACAGAAGGAAGGACATTACCTCTGGGACATGCTGTCCCTTGAATGAAACTCGCCCACGTGCAGGGAACTGGCGCAAGGCCTGTGCCTCCCTGCCAGGCTATTTTGTGAGCTTAAATAGGGCAAATCCCTCCTCGTAGTCCTCCCCCTTGGGTGGACTTTGCCTCTACTTGCAGCAGCCCCCCTCTGGGGGCTGGTTGGGGCCCCAGCTCAGCAGTGTCTATAGAGCCAGACACAGGGATTTCTCTCCCTCATTGCTCTGAACATGATGCATTATTTATCCAGTGCAGCTTTGCTCATTGTGTTGAAGAGGCAGCTCTGCTCTCTGGGTAGCTGTAAGGCCAGTTGGCATCTGTTGTGCATCAGGAAATCCTGAGAAGCCAAAGTGTGAGGCTGCTTGACCGGGGGGAAGCCTCGGACCAAGTACAAGGGGCAGTGTGATTAGGAGGGAGGGCTGTGCTTCGATGCTAAGACCCCTTCTGACAGCAAGGGTTTCAGGGGCAGATATGACCTGACCAAGAGCTGAACTAGTTTGGCAGGTGCCTGTGGGTCCCACTGGGATTATATGAAAGATCCCACCTTGGATCCAGGGTCCCACCTGGATTACATGAAAGGAAGCTGAGCGCAGTCCCCTGCGTTTTTGCTGCATGTTAGCTCCCCAGCTCAAGATCGCATTTTGCCTGCTGGGACCCGCACGCACCATGGGCTCCCGGCCCCTTTTGGAGACGGTGACAGTGGCGGTTTCTCTGGAGGGCTCCCTGAACTGCCGGCCTCTTCTGGTATAAAGTGTCTGCCGGTTCTTTTGCCTTGCAGGTGGTGATATACTGCAGTGGATTATCCAGCATCTGCAAATCACCGAGGAAGGTGGGTAGGAGCATAACCAGCTGGTTTTATGAATCCTTGTTAGATGATACCTGATTTTTTTTTTTGCTTTTGAGTTTGCTGCAGTCCTGTTTTGTGTCCCACTACATCTCACTTGTCCCTTTCTAGAGGCACTTCACTTGGGGACTATGATTGTCAAGTTTGGATACATCTACCCTCTGCAGGAGCCAAAGAATCTCACCCTTAAAACAGACAACAACCTCTACAGGTTTCAGGTGAGTTGTCTCGTAGCCAAAATGCTCTGGCTATGTGTAACTCCGAAGTTTCTGTGCTTCTGTTTGAATAAGTTGCAGCTTCAAAGTCTTGATGCTTTCTTCTATTACCTTCCAACCTGTCTACTAAAAAATCCATAATTATTGATGGCACACTTTGGAAGGTAGGCATCATTAATGGGATTTGTTAATCTAGTAAAGCTGTGTTGCATGGTTGGACTTGCCTCCTCACACAGCAAGAGATTAGAGGACTATGATACTAAACATCTGCTCTGAAAGACATAGACAAAACCTCCAGATCTCCCAAATCAGGATCCAGCATCTGAACAATGTGAAGGCAAAATGTTCCAGGCTTTGGGCTCTGCAATTGTATTTCTGGTCAGTCATAACTGATTGTAAAAGCAGACATAGTGCATTTGGGACACCTGGTTGGACCATTCATATCCTCATGAATGCAAATGCTGAGTGCAAAAGTGATGGATGGATTTTTTTTGCGTGTGTTGAGAAATCCCCTTAAATGGTAAAATAAGGGGAAATGAAAAGCTGATTTCTGGCAGCAAATTTGTTCCATCTCTTTTGTGCACAAAAATAAGTAATGTCGTGTCAACCATTGCCATGGTTTTAAAAGGCCAGATTTAGCTGGTGTGTGATCAGTTTTTGTCTTCTTCCTGCAGACCCCCTATTTCTGGCCCGCACAGAAGTGGCCGGCAGATGACACCGACTACGGTAAGTGTTAACCGTCCTGCCCTGGGAGAGCCGCAGGGAACGCTGGGCCGTGCCACCGTCAGGTGGATGCTGCTGCTCCTAAGTGTGCAGTGCCTGCTGCTTGCCCTAGGGGCTGTTGCTTTTGGGGTTGTGCCTATGCCTGGCAGCTGCCCCTGGTTCATACTCCTGGGCTCAGTGTGTTTCTTGATACTTTGCTCTTCTAATGGTCCATTACCTCTCTTTGCTTTTCTTCCCGAGATATTAGAGGCCCCGCTAGCAGAGCGCGTGTAGGGGGTAGAGAGAGGTTCTCAGACACAATAGCAATGAACAAAAGATGCATATCTACACAGCGGCGCAACCCCTTGGCGCAGCTAGTGAGCATCCTTATTCTGTGGGCTCAGTCCTTCCGAAAGATTCAGATGTCAAGAACGGTGCTAAATTCAGCCCACTTTGATACAGTGGCTTTTGTGGTATAACGGCCCTACTCTGCCAGTCCTGAAGCTACAGCCACTTTCTTTCCCACAGTTTACCATCTAAATAGACCAACAGATGCAGGCTAGGGGAAACGGGATTATTATTTGAGTGCCCAAGGGGTCCAAACCGGGCCGGAGCCCCAGGGTGTTTGTGCTTCTCGGAGATGAACCATAAACCAAGCACAACCATTTGCAAGTTCTTGTTGGCCAAACAGCTTTAAAATCAGTCTCCTCACACTATACATGTACAGCGTGGGAGGATAGTTATTCTTGGACTTCTGCAGGGTGAGGGGACCATCCTCCACACACCGAAGAAGCCAAGGGCACCTTCCTGAGGAGACGTGTGTGACATTAGAGTTTGCGCGTGGGAAGGAGACCCTCAGGACAGCGGCTCAATCCTTTGTCACAGGGTCTGCGTGTCTTCATACGCTTGCTAATTTTGGACTTGAGTAACTGGATGTCTTCTCTTTCCCCTCAGCAATCTACCTTGCAAAGAAAAATATTAAGAGGAAAGGGGATTTGGAAGAATATGAAAAGGTAGGAAAATGTTACCTTCCTTGTTCCTTTGCAAGCCCTGAGGCTGCACTGGCTCAGGCCAGCTGTTGCTGAGACCGGAGAATGGTGAAAAGCAGCATATGTGCTCCCCATTTCAATTGAATGAAGCGCTGCCCCTGCAGCACCTGAGGCCATAAATGTGGAAGTGAAATAGCTGCTGATGCATAAAAGTGTAAAATAAATGATAATTTTAGTAGGGAAATTACCGTCTCCAAAAGGTTCGAATGAAATATTCAGAACGGCTGCCATTCCTCTCAGTCGCTACAGAACAAGCCAGATTTTATATCTCCCATTGCCTGCCTGGCCTTTGTTTAATTCATGGAGGAGGTAATATTTGCAGCAGGGTCTCCATGATGCAAGCAGAAAGCTTGTGATTGCTAATGTCTGTGTTTTGTACTAACAGTATCTTTTTTTTTTTTTTTAATCCCAGGAACACTACAACTTGCTAAATAAAAAAATAAACTACAAATGGGATTTTATTATTATGCAGGCCAAAGAACAGTATAAGTGAGTTCACTCCCATTCTCTTCTCTCCTTTACTTGGGGGCAGGAGGGGGGCAAAGGCATTGTCTTCGGTTGCAGTCAAACAAAAGAAGCAACTCTAAAAAAATTAAATTTTCAGTTTTAAAGTGGCTTAAAACACCCACTGGGAAATACGCAGCTGGAAGCTGTTTCCATGTCATTTCCCACCCCCCTATATAATACCCACTGTTACTCATTTGACGCTTAATGACTGAAAAATCAGCCAGGTCAATTGACTGACTGGACAAGCAGCCGCCGGCAAAAAGCCACACTGCTGGCATTTGTCCTGCATGCAAGCATCTCCCTATTTCCTCACACAGTGTGGAGTCACAGTGTGGTTTGTGTGGGCTAGAGAGCACGTTTGAGTGTGCACATACCCTGCTGGGACGTGCAAAGACGTCCTTGCAAGTGTTTTGTCACGCATGCAAGAAGTGGCTTTTGCCACATCATCTGCTGCAGCTCCTCTTGGAAACTTGGGGCCCAATCCTGCAAGGCTTTACCTCTCTGGCTCATAGACTAGCTTCACATGAGCAAAATGCTTTCAGCAGACATGTCATAAGGGGGCAGCAGTGTACACATCCGACCTCGGGGTGCCTGCAACTAAGCTATAAACTCCATCTAGAAATGGCACCAAAATAGGGATGGCATGGAAGTCAAAACCCCAGACTCCCTGTGGATGCCCCCCCTAGCAATGAAGCTACTTTTACTTAAGTATTTAAACATGGGTTCATGTATCCACCCTTAGCCCTGTAGGTCCTTGTATATAATGGGCTGGCAGAGGTGCATGTAGCACCATGCTTTCCCTTGTTGCAGTTGCACCAGCCAAGTCTAAATACGGCATGCCAGGGCATCACCAGTTCTGCAGATTGCTGCTGTGTGGTTTGGGTCTAGCCTAGGCTGCACATTGCAGTTGGGTTTTTAAATCAGAGTTAACTTGGGTCCTCTCAGTGCCTCAGTGAAGTTGTCTGTGTTGGGGGTGACCTGTCCAAGGCTGTGGAGAGTGAATTGAAGCCCCCAAAGCACAAAACTCTCCAACCTGGAGGCTTTGAATGAGGAACACTCTCCTGCGGGGAGCTCTCTGTGTAGCAGACACGAGCTCCCAACAAAGCCACCCGTTACCAGGAGATCTGGGTAGATGAGACATGACACTTATCCACTGCCTGGTCATACAGTCGCTGTAGGGAGATGTGGTTGTCTCTCTAACACGAGAATGCACCTGGTCCAGCAGAGCTCAGGAAGAGGTTGATTAGTCAAAGCCTAGCCTCCCCCCAATTTACATAAATGGGGGTCAGTCAATCAAGGATAGAAAGTCACAACCTGGGTTCTGGACATAGCAGAGTTACACTGTGGATGTGAGCAGCAGCTGACACCAAGCCGTTCTGCAGGAGGCCGTGTGTCCCCATAGCTGAAGAAGGGTTTAGGAAGGGTTGGAGCAGCTGCACACCCTTCACCTCACTTGTTTTAACTACAAACAGCATAAGCTGCTTCAATGCTGGCCCAGTCACCTGGAACAGCGGCTAATCGAAGCAAAAGTCATGTCATCGAAAGTGGGAAATGAGCCATGCATTCGTCTGATGTGATTAAACCCTCTGGTTGGCTTTGCAGGGCAGGAAAGGAGCGGAAGAAGGCAGACAGATATGCCCTGGACTGTCAGGAGAGGGCGTATTGGTTCGTGCATCAAACACCTGTAAGTTGAGCACAGCTGCGCGCAACTATAAGATCTCAATTGCCCATGAAGGTCCTGGGAGCTCTCCTGGGTGGAAATCATTTCACCTTTAGGAAGGCAACCTGGGGGTGATACCTTCTTGGCTGTCACAAAGGCAGGCCTGGATTCAGAGGGGAGAGACATTAGCCCTTGTGCCTGCTAATGTCCCAGAGCGCCCAGCTTGCTCTGAAAGACGCGGCAAGGAGCTTCTCACCACAGGGTCCGTGCCACGAGCAGAGAGCCCTCGCTGCACGTACCCCGCAGGGCGCAGTTACTTCTGGCAGATGTCGACAGGGTGTTTCCTGAGTGAGGTCCTGCTGGTCGCACCATGTCCTTGGATGCCGACATGTCCCGAAAAGCTACACTCCTTATTCCCCATCGTAATCAAAGAGCCATTGCTAATTGTGTATATTGAATAAGCAGCCAGCGGAGAACCCAGCAGTTAACATGCGGGGAGGCTTTAAGTTGGAGGCAAATGTCAGCGTGTAATTAGAGCTCTGCTTGCAGATAATGCCGTGGCTGGAAGAGTCTTTACACCACCCAGCTACTTTGGCCCCAGTGTGATCTTTTGTGGCTACACCAGGGCTGAATTTGTTCCCTCTGATTCTACACAGCATCGCCGACCTTGGATGTCCAAAAGCAATGAGTCAGAACTCGCCAGAATCACGAAATTGCTTGAAAATCACAAGGGTTAAAAAAAAATCATAGAAAAGTAGGGCTGGAAGGGACCAGTCCAGCCCCAGCTCAAGGCAGGATCATCACTATAACAACATCTGGGCAATTGTTATTTGCCTTTTGTTGTCGTGGACATTAGGCTTTGTGATTTGAACCCAGATAGGGTAGAAATCTCCTTTAAAAAATGGATCGTCTCAGCCTTCATTAATCATGTGGCTTCTAGGGGACAGGACTTAAAAAAGTAGGAAACATTAGGAAATTTGGGATTAAATTGCAAGAGTTTGACAACATTGTCTAAATTTCACTCGCCTTTCTTGTCTTGGATTGTTTCTTTTTCCATGTCGGAAAGCACAGAGCTTATTATTGAGCTTGAATTATTGACCATCATCAAAATCCTTTGCACCCAGGGCAGACAAATCGGTGGCCCTGTCCCAGTCCTTCTAATGTCCCCATCTAGATTCCTGTTGCATTGAGCAGGAACATGTGTCCAGTGTATTAACCATGTTATGCCATAACGAGGTATCTTCTGGGACTTCCCTATAAAGGGTCTTCCAAATTGTCTCCAGGTGTCACCATCATTTGGACGCCCCACTCAATAGTGGTCTCTTGTTATCCTGACCTGGGTGCCTCAGGTATATGCCCGCTGCCCTCCCAGCTAAGCCATAGGGCCATCTCAAGAGAGATCAAACAGTGTCTACCAGGCAGGAGCTATTCATTAGCAGGAGCTTTCTGTGCATGGCTAAGGTGGGTTTAAAGCACCAGGCCCAAATCTAATGTTGTGTTTTGTTTGTCACAGCCAGGCATGCAGGACGCCCTAGAGTATGGATTGAACCGAGTAACAGATCCTAATGAAAATAAGGTAAACCAGGTGAGCCCGAATGCTTTCAGACTGCTTGAATGTCGTCTGGGAGGGCATAGACACTGTGAGTGTGTCCATGTGATTCAGTGCAGTCTAACTGTGTTATTATGCTTCCAACCCAGAGCTAATTAACCAGAACTGAATGCCGTGCTAATGTGGCAATGCTGCTTCCGTTATTTAGAGCTAGCTTGGGTACCTATCTGTACACAGCTCTGCATATAGATGTGCCCTGCGCGCTCACGAAACTCCCTGAATTTTCAGTGCATTGGACGGTAGCAGTCTGTATAAACTATATAAGCTATATAAGCAGTCTGTATAAGCAGTCTGTATAAGCTATATAAGCAGACTGTATAAGCTATAGCAAAGCAGTTACAGCTGAGAACAACGTAGAAACAGGACAGAACTGAAACTGCTAATTGAAAGCCCGTCGGTTGTCACTTCTACACTTCATCTGACTTTGCCCCGGTGCAAGAGGGAGCCCAGTTTGGCTAGAGCAATAATATGTAGTGCAGCGGTTCCCAATCTCTGACAGATTGCACAATTTAAAACGTTACAACCTCAAGTACCACCAGCAAATTTTTGACATATAAAGTCATTATAATGCATCTGTTAACGTGTACCACTGGCAGGTTGTCTGTGTACCACTGGTGGTACCCGTACCACAGATTGGGAACCGCTGATCTAGCTGGTTCTTTTTGTCTCTAAATACATCAGTGGCTTTCATTGACTGCAACGAGTAACGCTGACGATGAGACCACAGAGAGTGCAACTGTCTGGGCCTGCTGAGATGTGCTGCTGCGGATGGAGCGGTCCCTGGACCCTCACTCGTGGCTCTGGGCAAAGGAGCCCGGGCATCGGTCGTCTCAGGCGGTTCCCTGTTTTTGCACCTAGTGGCGCAGAGTCTGGCCTCCGCTTAGCGAGTGGGCTCCCAGCACTGCTCAGCAATTAAAGGCGATCGTTACTTTGATAAAACTGGCTGCGTCGCCAATAAACTTTTCATTTTTTTTGACAACCCTGAAACATCTCGGCTGTCAGAGGCAGGTAATTGCTTTGGCCGAGGGAGTTCTGTCGCCATGGAGATGGAAAAGTGGAGCGAAACACCGGGGCTCGAGCTTTTCCTTTCCACGATAAACGGCAGCAGCTGAAACGTCTTTTGCAAGGGAGAAATGAGGTGCCTGTTGCACCGCAGGAAGCAAGCAAAAGGGTGCTAAGCCAAATTGGCCCCACGAGTCTACGGCAGACATGAGAGCGAGCCTTTGAAGTGCTTGCAAACATTTCAGACGTGGCGAACTGTCCCACGGCATTGGCAAAAAGGGGAAGTAAGTTAGATCCCAAAGGATGAATGTCTCTGCAGCAAAAGAAACAACCTGCCGGTGAGGCTGACTCCTGTTGGGCTCTGCAGAGATGCCAAGGAGCGAGGGGCTGGATTGGGTCAGCAGGCTCTGATTATGCCATGCACTTCACGACCCCGGCAGGTTTTCCCTGTAGGGGTATAGCAGAGGGCAGCAGGAGGAAGGGCACACTAGGATTGCAGGTGTTATACCTCCAAGAGGGTCAGATGCATCTAGAATATTAGGGGACACTGTACCTGCATGGCTCAGAGCAGCATCTCACCCTTGTATCTCCACGTGCTTTATGGTGATGTATAAATGTGCCCCTTCTGTACCAGGAGGTGGGAGAACACCAGTCTAGGCAGGCCAAAGGGATTGAGAACACACCTGGTAAAGGCACTGTGTATCTCTCCGCTCCCACGCTGCACCTGAGTCCCAGCTGGGTTGCATCAACTCTAGGCCGGCAGGATGCCACTGGCTCCCACAGAGCCTGCCGCATCCAGCGTGGGAGCAGAAGCAGTCACTGGCCAAGCTTACAGGCCTTTCCTCCCAGCCATGTGCAACCCCAGCTACCATTAGTAGAGGTGCTGCTGCTGGACCCCCTTTGATATAATCGTGAATGGGCAGCTAGCAGGGCACTTTGCACGGGGGCTCTAGGGCTTTAAAATACCCTCCCATGCCCAGTCCCAAATCAGCGCAATTGGTTGGTTTTTAGGGTGCCCTGCAGGGTATATTTATTTCATTTAGGCCTTCAGAGAGAGCGAGCGTGGGAGCACAAAGCAGCATCTGGGGGCGGTGCACCGTGCTTGGGGAGTGGGGGGGAGCTGACTATTGCACTCTGGGTTTGTCATCGGAAGGGCTCAGCAGGATGCTCTGGGCCTGTCTGTGGGCGCTTTTCATTAGTTATACATCCAAAGAAAGTAAATACCATAAGTGAATGGAAATCAGTTCAGTTGGGGAGGTTGCTATAGGTTATCTGAAAGCAGTGAAAAGAGAGAAGAGAGTGGGAAGGGAGGAATGGAGGAAGGAAAAAGGGACAGAAAGAGAAGTGGTTAGGTAGAGCTCTGCGAGTGGGCCCAGGAAGGGATGGTGTGGCTATTCTGGGGTGAGCTGAGGAAGGAATCATTTCCCCCCCCATGGAAAAAAATAGGAAAAAACAAAGCTGTGGAGCTTTCAGCAAGAATTTCCTTTGCAATTATTCAAAGTTTTGCTGAAAACCAAAAACACCCACAAAAATCCTTCAGGCTTTTTTAGGCACGTATTTGGCAGTTCTGTTGGTCTGGGACAAAAAGAAATGCACACATCTAGAACTCTTGGTTCAGAAACGATACCTTTTATTAGACCAACTAGGAAATCACAAAAAACTTCTACGAGCCTTCGGGCTCAAAGGCCCTTCATCAGGCTCTGGGAAAATTAAAATGGTAAAAAGTCCCCATAGGTAGGAAATAAACTTCATTTTTGCACAGAGAGAGCTGGAGATGGAAAATCTGCCCCTCTGGGTCCACGGGAGTGTCTCTGTAGACCAGGTAGGATTCCTTCCCTGGAGGTGTCTGATGGCAAGCGATTTCCTATTTGGTCTAACAAAAGGTATAATTTCTGGACCAAGAGTTCTAGATTTTTGCATTTCCACTTTTTTAGGCTCTTGGATTTTCATCCGCAACCATGATTTCCATCCACATTTAAGATGAAAATAGAAGGGGTTTTTGTTTTCTTCACTGAACAGTCCCATTTTGCTCAAAACCCCCCTTTTTCCATCGAGGAAAATGTGGCTGAAACGTTTGTGCTCAGCTCCAGCCAGATGCTTGAAGGGGTGCTCCCAGCCTGCCTTCTCTTGATGTTAATCTGCACCCCCGAGTGGAGAGGGTCCTTCCGGCTTCAGCTGTTTATATTTCAAAGCTCAGTTGAAAATGCACCAGAAAACCTGGCTAACGTGCAAAGCTCCCCCACCCCCACCTCTGCCTGGCAGCTGTTCTTCTGACTCCTGGAAAACACCAGACTTCCTAGACCCTCTAGATTGGCTAATTTCTTAGAGTCTTGATCCTTGGACCGCAAAATGCATCCCTCTCTCCCCTTTGGCGGGTCTTGTCAAATCCTGCTCCTGCTAAAGCCAGTAGAAGTTTTACTAGTGTGTTCAGGGGGACTGAGGAGCAGTGGGGGACAAGATAAACCAGCATCTTAACTCAGCTGCAGTTTGTGGCTCTGCTTTGCCTCCATCTACTGCAGCTTTGTCTGCTAATTAGGCTTCTTTATCTCTGAAGCTGGAAATAAAAAATTCCCACTGATAATCCATTTCAGGCAGCAGAATTAATTCTTTTGAAGCCACGATTGGGCACAAACATCTTCAAGTATGTGTTGCTTGCCTGGGAAGGCTTGCTTTGGTACTGTCTCTTGGAATAAAGAGCAGCTAAAGCAAACAGCCGTCCTCTCCAGGCGGCTTCTAGCACTGACCTGTGCGTGAGTCGCAGTGTGTTAATGGGATAAAGGACTTGGGGATGCAGGAAGAGGGATAAGGCACTCGTTTTGAGTAGGAAGGGTGTTTCTTTGTTGGCTGGGAGGGATTGTCGCACTAAGGACAGGAAGTCTCTTTAAAAAATATGCTGTCGTTCAGCAACAAGTTCTTTGGCCTGTTGCAGAGATTGAAAGGCGAAGCTCAGCAGGGCAGGCTAGAGAATGATAACAGTCCCTCCTGGCTTTACACATCATGAACCTAAGATGATCGGACAAGCCGAGTGATAAATACCTAATGTCATCCCAACTGCTGATGGAAACCGCGAGCAGTAACACAGACCCACAGCAGGCCACAGGGCCGCAGCAATGCCACCTAGGCAGCTGGTACATGGCTGCCCACCGAACAGGATCTTTGCTCCCAGGTTGTTCTTGCTCAGCTCCTCTCTGCCCAGCTCCCAGGAGCAAGGGGGCTGCTGGCTGGGCTCAGGGGTGAGGACGCAGTACAGCTGGTGGAGCTCAGAGATGGGTGCAGGATGGGTCCTGCATTGCTCAGACTGTGCCTCCCTATGTGTTGCTTCTCGATTTCAAATCCATCCTGGAGTGCCTGAGGGTATCTAGGTGTGATCCCACTGCTTCCAGGCCCTAGCAGCATAGCCAGGGCTAGCACAGTGCCAGGACCATTATGGCCTTGGAGCAGACCACCTCTGGTTTCCACCAGGGTCCTGCCAGCAGAAGTTTTCCCGGGACAGAGGGAGGCTCCAAAACAGACAAAACTCCGCTGGGACCCCCCCCGCCCTGTTTTGAGCTGTGTTACCATATAGAAACTAGTTTCCAGGGCGCTATCCCTGTATCTGGATGCCCGCTGATGTTCTCTTTGTTGCTCGGGATGGATTTAGCTGCAGTGCCTGAGCACAGCTCTTATCCCAGCATACAATGATGATCACATCTTGATACAGCAGTCAGCTAAGAGCATCTCACACCATCCCATGAGGCTTGTGCAGGATCAGGGCCCTGAATTGGGAGCAGCTCTGGTGCCTTACGCTCTATCCACCTTCGCTGTCGGCGCTCACCCAAGGAGCAGGCTGGAGGTGATGCTTTACCTGGGGTGACAGAGCTGTGCGTGATGCTTCATGGAGCACGTGACAGTCAGATGAGACTAACTGGAGTTTTCCCTCTAATTGCCATTTTGATTGGAGCCTAACGGGACCATGAGCTTTGCACTCTGGGTACATGGGATGAATCGCTAGGTGAAGGGTATTACCAATTACGGTAATCTCAATGAGGGAAAGTAATGGCGCTTTTCAGCTAAAGGGTATTTCTCCATCAGTCAGAGAGCAGGATGCTCTGCATACCGGATGGTATTTGGGGTTTGCTTTGGGATCCAACTCGGGGAACAGGTGCAGCCGCTCCATGCAGCTGCTGACATCCACAAAAGCTTTGACCCATCGTCCCCTCTTGCTGTTCCAGAATTGGCCTGTCCTGTGTTTAAATCCCAGCTGTCCTCCAAGTGCTTTTGGGGCATGTTTTGCCCCGCTGAATGGGATGGATGGATACTGCAGGCAGGAGCCAGGCCCACTGGACAGGCCTCTGCTCCCCTTGGCTCCTGGGAGAGGGTGGGTGGGATCATCTTATGCTTATCTCTCATACTTCTCAGGTTGGGTGGGCTCCACTCCATTGGTGGTTCACAGCTTCTTGCATACCACAACCCCTTTGTTTGATCCCTAGATACCTGTTGTTGCCACTCACACAGAGGGTGGACTGTTTCCTAAATAGCTTTTCTTTTTCCAAAGTCACCTTAAGTCATAGCTGTATTGCCCTACATAGCATTTAACTTACAGTGTTTTCCCTTCTCTCTTTCCCCGCAGTTGTCTCTTTCTCGTGTGTGGGGTGTGCACCTTCATGTAAGGCACAAGCCTTGTTGAAGACTAAAGCATCTTCACTTCTATGAAAGCTGCTTTTCCTCCCTCCTCATCCAACGGCACCATGGCTGTCGGAAAGAGCCCCCCAGGAGCAGAAATAGTAGCAGGGACATTTTATTTTGTTTAGAAGGTTTTTCCCTCTACCTAATTGTCTTAGCCCACTGGTTTTCACAAACTACCCATTCCTGGCTCCTGTCGTCAGGTGAAATAATTTAGCCGGCACGTGGGAAATCTGAAGGTATCTGATTTTTTTTTTTTAATTTTCAGGCTTCTCCAGAGGATAAAGGAAGTCCATTCTGTATTAATGAGCTCTGATTACATATGAAATAGTTAGTTAAAAATGGGAGTCCAGCTCTCTGAGGAGGAGTCTTCCTAAATGGGTAGAAGTTTCAGGCTGTGTTCTGGGACGCAAGCAGCAGCAGATGATTTTCTGTCTCCCCTCTCTACCTGGACTAGATCCATAGTGAAGACATCCTGGTAGAAATGTGAGGGAGGGGTGAAGCCTGCATGGCTTTGACAGGTGTCATTTGCAGATGTAAGACCAGGATTTTGTGCATATGATCCTGAATCTGGCACCACTGAAATAAGCTGAAACTTTTCTGTAGATGTGAGTGGGCAGACTCAGGACCAGAATCACGGACACAAATAGCGCGGTTTGTTTTAACCCCGAGCAGCCCAGTTGCTTGTAAGGAGCCTGAAAACTAATCAAGGAAAACTTCCCTTGTCTCCAGTTGTTCCAAGACTAAATGGCAGATGCTGTGGTTTGTAATTTGAGCCTGATCATTTTTGTTAGTCTTGCTTAAATTCAGTGCTGCCCTGCCCTCCCTGCTCTTGTCCCTGCAATGGTGCAGTGGATCCTCACATGCATAAAAGATGCTTGTGTGTGAGGTATTGGGAGATCCCAGCAGGCAAATATGGAGCATGCTGGAATATGCTGCAGGCTGGGGAATCCCTTACGGGGCTTTCTGCCCCAGGACCAGATCCAGCTCGTGCGACATACATTTGTGACTCAGTCGCTTATCCAAATGCCAATTATGAAGCATCCAAGCTTTGCTTTTGCCAGCCTGGGCCGTTGCAGGCAGGACAACATTCAGCTCTGGTCTCATCCAAATAAAGTTAAGTTATGTTTTTCCCCCTCAAAAAACTAAAGGAAAATTATCAAGGGGACTTTATTCTGACAGCTGTTTGGAGACCAGTGTGAGGCGATCTCCCAACTTTGGTCGCCTTCATCCATTCCCAGTGGATGAGGGTCCACGTCACACCGGTCACCAGTGCAAATGGTTTAACTGGCTCCTTGCTAAGCCCTACCCAGGAGGCTCCCTGAGGCCTTGGCACCTGAACTCACTTCTCCATGCTGCGCAGGAATAGATGTTGGAGTGGCTAAGACCCAGCGCCAGCTCTCCCAGTTGATCCCATGGGCTGTGCTGCACTGGGGTTAGAGCAGCCATGGGAGAACTCCCTGTCAGGCTACAGGTCAGGGCTGAGGTCCCCTGGCCAGGCCCTGCGGGGGGACATACATGCCACTGCTCTCCATCTGGTTCCCACTCAGCAGACTAAGGACTTTGGATTCCTGGGTTGCCAACCTGTCACTATTTGCAAATACTAGGGGCACTTACACACATGCGGGAAGGCTGCTCCGACGTGCTGTAAATCCAGCACGTTGGAGCACACTCGATTAATCGAGTATGCTGGAGCGTGGAAGTTAATGTGCTCAGTGTGTTGGTCGCTGTCTCTAACTGGTATTGAATGATTTAGTCTTTGTCTCCTAAATGAATCTATGTTAGCTCTATTAGCATAACCCTTTAACTGAATGCACATAGGCAGGCTGTGGTGGAGTGGGCCACACTATACATAAATACAGCTCATTGAACCACTTCTGGTGTGTGCAGCACTTAGCATTGATGATACCCTGGTTAAATGAGCTGCTTAGATAATAGGCTGGATCTGTTTCTAATTATTGTGAGGATTATGTGGAGAGAGGTGTCCAATAAGAAACTCCAGTAGCCTGTTCTTTTAAGAGCAGTTCTGAGCACCCACCAAGATTAATGCTTTTGCGTCTTTATTTTGCAGAAAAAAACCTTTGATGTTTACAGGCGGGAGGTAATTAGACCTTTACTTGTTTTCCAATGTGAAATGTTCACGGGATGGGGTTGGTATGCATTGCTGTCCTGCCCTACCTTCTGCATGACTGCCCCAAGGTCCCCTCAGTGCTTTAAAAGTGTGCAGTTTGATAGGGTCCTTGCCCTGAGGAGGCTGCAGTCCAATATGTTTGCAGGACTTTTCCTGCCATTGCACTGCTGTCAGCACTGGCCATGCTGCCAAGGCTTGGAGCAGGGCTAGACAATGTGCTGCTAGTGAAGGGGGCTTCTTTCACCCTGAACACTCAGGGCATAGCACCTGAGTGCAGTAAAGCAATGGGAGATATCCTGAACGTTGCCAGGGTAGAAGCAGCCCAGTAGCAATGCTAAGGACATGCTTGAATTTGTAGGTGAGTAGACTCCTTACAGGGGAGACAGACATGAGGCAGTACCTATTACCCTATTGTCATACAGCACAAGAAACTCCCCTTAATTACTCCCACATTATAGAACGTGACATGTAGAAGAGCCTCCATGAAAATAGCTGGCGATAAAGAGATGTAATGACACTAATCCCACGGGCACCTTCTTATTAAGGAGGGGACACTATTGCAACTAGCCCCGCTGTCTCCCAGATGGGATGGGGTAGGCTAGGCTGCCAGCTGGGGAGCCTTCACACTCATGGCTGTAACTGCTAACCACAAAACATTTCTCTTTACTTTTAGATCATGTACTACAGGCAGGCCCTCATGAGGTCCACAGTGAAATCTTCTGTCTCCCTGGGAGGGTAAGTTTCCACTTCCTTCTTCCAATACGTTAATTAGTCTTCAGTTCTCTTCTACTAATGAGATGATTACACTGTTTATCTTGTGACTCTCCAGGGCAATCAATAGCACAACCCTACACAGTGCCATTTATATGCTGTGTCTTTAGGTTGCTCATTAAGTAGACTGGGAACCAGGGAGAAAGCAAAGGAGAGTCTCAGAGAAGAGAAGGGCTCCATGTCCCAATCCAGAATCAGCTCACGGATTTTACTGGGAATTTTAACCCATGGAAATTGGTCCTGGTACAGCGGTGGAGAAGAGGCAGGTCCCCTAGCTCTGCGCACACTGATCGAGCGCACCGAGGCCAGTCCTATGGCTAGGCTCCGGCAGCCTCTGTAGAGTGGTTGGGTTGCTCCTTGCTCTCTTGGGGATTGGGGCCAGGACACTTGCCTACCTCCCCATAATGCTGCTAATGTTTTCCGGCAAAACACTTCACGCACTGGCCCCTGCCTCTCTGCTGGATGAAATCCAGTCCCTAGATCCAAACGTTCCTGCGCTTTCAGGATATTTGGATCTTGATCCAAAGCCAGAAGTCTGGGCCCAAGTCTAATTATTACTGATCAAGGTAAGATCAGCCTCCAGGTAGCCCGCACACATCAGAGCATGCTATTGAACCAGGAGGAGCTAGAAATCCCTGATCGTTAGGAGGACAGAGCGCTGTTCCCTGAATGGATGGGTTTATATTCGTAGCTTGATTAGAAGGTATGGATCGGACTGAAGTATGCAGGCACCAAATGCCTTGGCATTTCCACTGAGGAGATGGTATTGAGTGTGCATCAACCCCGCAGTATGCTTTGCGCAACAGCATCGTAGAGTCGCAGGATCTGTGCCAAGATGCCTGTTAGCAACAAAGCTTTGGACGGCGCACTCCAAGCTTTGAACACATGAAAGCAACTTAGCCCGGGATGAATTTTAAACACAGAAACCAGATGAATTTTTCAAAAGCAAAGAGGGGGGAAAAAGAAATATTCCTGGGGCGTTAATGAAATCGGCTGTTGTTACAGGTTTGGCCAGATCTTACAGTGTGGGTGTGTGTGCGTGGGGGTGTTTATCTGCTTTGCTGCAACTACAATGAAGGGATTTGAGCATTGTGCCTGGCACGTCTCATAGCGCCTTGCAGGGAAATAAGCTCCGAGGGCTGGGTGAGGAGTGGGGCCATGCGAGGGCATTCAGCAATGTCCCGTCCATCCTGGGGTTTGCTGGGAGCACACATTAAAGAGAAACTAAAAGATGCCAGTTCTGAAAAGCTGCTTGTCCTGCCCCTTGCCATCATCCAGCTGGCTGGATCCAAGTCCAGGCTCCAACAACATCTGTTTTCTTCCTCTCTGTGTCCTTGCTGTGTGTAATGGGTGACATAACACGTCCCAATGGCCCTCCTTTTGTATGGGGAGTCTGATCCACCAGTTGAAACAAGATTGCTTGGTTCTTTTCCCACATCTTCCTCTCGTGTCACTTGAGTGAGGCACTGAAGGGAGACAAAGCACTGGAGCCTGCCAAATCCCTGGCTATTCAGACAACACAAAATCAAGGCTGCCATTTGGAGGGTATTTTTGTGGCCTGGCATCCCTGGGTGGGAAGAGCCATGGCAATGTGTGTCTTGAGGCCCGCTCTCAGTCCCAGCCCCTAAGGACTGTGCAGGGACTCCTCTGGTCTGTAATCCAGCTGTCTGAGATGCTGCTTGCAGATGCTCATTTTGTTCTCATCTGCATTGTTTTCAGGCTTGTGAAATATGCCCAGCAGTTGTTGACCAATGATCCCTTGCTGGCAGGCTGCCTCCCCAGCAACCCCTGGGTAACGGATGACCCCGCGTTCTGGGAGCTCAATGCAAAACTGTATGTATTGACTCCTCACCAGCTTCTGGTTTACGCCAACACTTGTGTTGATGGAAGCCAAAACAAGGAAGCGTGGATCCTACCATGATCTCTGCTCCTTAGTAACAAATGGGGTTGCTTTTTTTTGTTCTGAGAGGTCTTGACTGTGGCACCGTGAGTGGTCCCTTAGCAATGCTGGATTTGCAGTCCTTTCTCTCCTTTCTTTTTTAAGTGAAGTCTGCATTAATGGTTTGAGAGTTCATGAATTCTCACCCGGGTGGGTATAGTGATAGGTTCAACAGGCCTAATTCAGACCTAATGGATGGCTCCCATTGCCTGAAGAGTGGCATTTGGTCAGCTATGATGTAGCATGTGTTGGCACTGAAGCAAGAACTGTGTAGAGTCGTGGGATGGGGTTGGGGGGTTGCAGCCCACGCTGAGTCCCTGCTGCTGGGGTTAAGACTGCCATTGGTTCCCAAGGGTATTAGGCTGCAGATCTAAGGGTATCAAAGCCATTGCTACACTACCCTGGTAGCAAAATGGCATATGCTGAGTTATGGAGGCAGGTCCTGGTCCTGAGTTCTTGAGCTAGAAAAACTTCACTAAGAGCTTTCCCTGCCAAGGAAGTGAAGCATCAACCCCATACAGGGCACGTCATATATTTGGGGTCTGTTCCACCGCTAGTGTATGTATTAAGTGCCCCATTAAAACAGGGCCAAAGCTGCTTTGGGTCTCTGTTGGGGTGCCATTGGGGGAATCTAGGCCAATGGGCCAAAAGCAATGCCTCCTCCAGAGAGATTCTGATTTTGACCAAGTTGCTGTAGCAAATCGTTGTGAGACTGGTATGAGGCAGAGCAGAGCTGGCCCCTTTGCGAGTAATTCCCCATCCCACTGTGCACAAAGTTGCTTAATTGCCACTTGCTCAGTGTGCTGACCTTGGGAGCTCGTTACAGCTTACCGGAAAACACACAGGGCTGGGAAAATCTCTTGGCGCTCCAGTGAAGGGCGTCCTGCTTTCAATTAATAGGTCAATTAAATGGGTGACATGAATCCCACAGGGCTGTTTGTGTTGAAACCTTTGCAGTGTGGAAATCCCCACCAAGATGCGCGTGGAGCGATGGGCCATTAATTTTAGTGAGCTGATAAGGGATCCAAAAGGCCGGCAGAACTTCCAGCTGTTCCTAAAGAAAGAATTCAGCGGTGAGTCTACGTGTCAGTCTCTACCCTTGCCCTCCTGAACATCTGGCAGCGTAGCTTTGCAATGGGAGCAGATGAGGCAGGAAACTTGCAGTAGCATTGCTTTATATTAGGGCTGTATATGGGGACACTTGTAGTAGCATTGCTTTATATTAGGGCTGTATATGACGGGGATCTAAGACACAAGCAGAAAGGAGGTAAACCCAAGAGAAATGACTGCTGTTTGGGGAGCTGGGATGTGGAGTCAGTGCATGCATCACCATCTAGTGGCGCGGGACACAAATACAAGCACAAAGAGCCGCTGTGCGAGGGGACCGTTCTCTCCCCAGCATGCACACAGCTCCTGCTAGAACAAAGTGGACATGTCATGCACTGAGGGTGAAATTCATCCCTGTGCCAAGGGCCAGCAGCTGGCCTGGGCTTTGCAGGCCTCCCTTTAAATACTTCAGGGCATCTGGAGAGTTCCTAGGAGGCAGCCAGCAGATTTTGAATCAAGTGAATTCAATTGAGGAACTAACTGAAGTGATTCTGATTTTACTCCACCTTCATCTTTGTCCCTCTCCCTTCCTTGTCACTAATTCCTCATGATACAGGAGAGAATCTGAGTTTCTGGGAAGCCTGTGAGGATCTGAAGTACGGAGACCAGTCCAAGGTCAAAGAAAAAGCAGAAGAGATCTACAAGTGAGCATTTAGATACAGCGGTTTCCTAACACCTCCCTGAGACTTATGACATCCTTGACATGCATTTGCCATCCCCTATAAATACTGCATTGCTGAGGACTTTCTGTGTGAGCGGTCACAGGGCACAGATGTGTTATCGTCCCGCTGGCGAAGGAATCTCCTTTAGATGAAAGAACAAATGTGCTGTAAAACTTTCTTCCTCACTCAGGTCATGGGGTTGATATAAGGAAGAGGGCCAGCCTTGTCAATGCAAGCACAAGAGTTGGGGCCAAAAGACCTGGGTTCTGCCCTGGATTCAGTCTATACCGTCCATTCTCATATTCTGCCTCGAGAAGGGTGACGAGACCATCCATACATTGCTGCCATTTAGCAAGGTTTAGTTCGTTAACACTTGTGACCTGCTTTGCAAGCTGTGGATGAGAAACGTCCCAGAGAAGCCAGAGTCAGTGGGATATCTCATGTGGGCTTAAATGGGCTTTCGACCAGGTCACAAAATATTATCGTGACTCTTTATTATGATACTAAGGCACAGGATTTGCCTGTGAGCACCGGGGGTTGGACTGCATGAGTTCTCTGCTCATTAACACCAGTAGTGACTGCCTCTTTCTGATTTCAGGCTCTTCCTGGCTCCAGGAGCGAGGCGCTGGATTAACATTGACGGCACAACCATGGGCATCACGGTCAAAGGTCTCAAGCACCCTCATCGCTATGTTTTGGATGCGGCTCAGACTCATATTTATATGCTGATGAAAAAGGTTTGTCATTTGTTTACGAGCCAGTAGGGATTACCTGTGCCTGGACATGTTTATGTGCTGCCTTTTCTGGCTCCCAAGTGACCTCTGTTTGACCGAAAATAACCTGCAGACTCACATAAAGAAGGAACTGGTTTAAGCAAGTGCATTTGGGAGGTTGTTGGGCTCCAGGGAGAGAGCCGAACTTTAGGTTCTGAGTGAGGGTGTCCTGAATTCAAATCCTGCCTCTGCCACTGACCCACTTTGTGGCCCTGGGCAAATCACTTGACATTTCCATGGCTCTGTTCCCTTCTGTAAAATGGAAAGGATAGTCCTCTTTTACCTCTCAGACCTGTTATGGGACTTACGTAACCAGCTTGTGCAGCACTTTGAAATGTCACGCGCTGGTTATCGTTCTTGTTTTTTCTAGCTGTGATATCCTTTAAAGTGCCATCTTTTATTTCATTCTGTCTCTCTCAGCAGGTCAGCACAGGATGGGGCACACAGTGTAGCCCTGCTGTGTTTCACCAATAATTGTGTAGAGTATCAGATGCAATGTGTGACCCTTGTACCAAGAACTTGGCACTGTATCTTGAAAATAAGCTGAGGAACCGTGTCAGCTCCCAGACAGATATAGTTAATGCATGGAGGATAATAGGTTTCCTAGGGCTATAGGAGTTTAAAAAAAAAAGCACTAGCTGAAACCCCTCCCTTCAGATCTAGACAGCCCACTCAGGAAAAAGGGGCATGTGAGCCAAATCTGCAGGTACAATAAAATAGCACCGAAGTCAACAGAACTCTGCTGATTTGCACCAACAAAGGCAATGGCCCAGCGTTGACTCTTGTAGTCTAAATGACTTCATACTGTCATAACAGGGAGACTCTTCAGTCCTGAGTGAAACTCATCAAACCCCTTTTGTTCTGATTTCTGCCTTGGGAAGTCTACCACAAGATGAAAGGCCACTGGTTTTAATAAATGTATTTGCCTGCAAGATACAAGTGAATTCTCTTGGGCTGCTGGGCGAGATTATCCATTTCCCAGCCTCACTGGCTCCTGAGCAGCTGTACTTGGAGATGATTTTAATTAGGGTGTTTGCAATCCATAACTACCAGTTTCCCTTTTTCCCCCCAGTAGGACTCTTACGGTCGCTATTTAAAGTCTCCGACCTACAAGGAGATGTTGGACAAGGCCATTGTGCCACAGCAGACAGTCAGAAAAAGGCAAGTGTAATGGGGTGTAATTGTGGGTTATGTGCTTTCTGTTTTACCAAAGAGGCAAAGTGCCTGAGTCGCAGCAAAATTACTGTGATTTAGATATTTGCTTAATTAAAGCGGACTTTTCACAGAGAAGAAGCCTTGCTTAGAGGCTGATTACCTTGCTTCTTTGGGAGCCCTTTGGAAAGGGCTCATGTGCAATCAGAGCTTAGTTGGTAGCAGCAATCCTTTTTGTTTACGGCATGTGCTTGGGAAGGCTGTGATCCCTGATCTGCCCCTTTGCTTTCCCAGAAGGGCGCCGCACACCAAGAAAGGGAGATCTTGCCCAGGGCTAACATGGTCTTGCCCACATCCCACCAAGTGCTTACAGAACAACTGTCCTTTCCCTAGCCCAGTGCTGAAGCAGATGCTGACACCAAGAAATGCCAGACAAGTAGCATCTGATGCTCCCTGGTATCGCTGCAAAGGCTGACAAGAGGTCGAGGACGCTGGGAGTCCAGCTCTGTGTGACTTTGCAGATCAGGTTCAGCCATTGCACTGGGCTGTGCCAATGCTCCTGCTGGGACTAAAACCCAGAGGTTCCTGATTGAAGAGTCTTGCCCCTCCGTTCAGGGTCAAACCGCTCACCATTTTGGGGGGCAAGAAGGAATTTTACCCCATGGTTAGCTTGGTTCAAACTGGGGGTTTCTGCTTTCCTTTGCAGCAGGGGTCATGGCCCTCTTCCTTGGATCTTTTGAAACTATTTTAATAATCTTTGCAGCAGCTGGATGTTGGCTGCTCTGCCCCCTCCCCTGCTTTACCTGTGTCGGGTTGGGGTGTTTATGTCTTGTGGTTGTGTCAGGGTTGACTGTGTAGATTTGCTAAGAGGTTAAAGAATGGATTTGGATAGGGATGATCCTGCCTTAGGCAGGAGGGTGCACTAGATGAACTCTGGAGATCCTTTGCATATTTTATGATCTCAGATCAGCTGGCAGAAGTTTTCAGGGCCTTCGGAGACACCTCAGTCCAATGCAGTTGCAGTGTCGAGCCGGAAAGACAACGATTGCCCTCTGAAACAGAGAGTGCCTCCACTCAGCAAGTATGGAGGAGCTTTGCCTCCTGCACTCTCTGAGCCCTGCACCAAAGCCCAGTGAAACCCAGGGAAACATTCCTACCAACTTCAGTGGTCTTGGACCAGGTCCTTCCTGATGCCACAAGGCACAAGGTTTTCTCAGTGTCACCGAGGAGAAAAGATGGATCCCAGGCTCCCCTAGTCTTAAGCAAAGTTTGACACCCTGGCAGCATCTCCTGTCTCCTCTACAGTGGTGGCACCTCCTGGTTGCTCACATCCCTTGCTGTGCAGCAGCTTTCTGGTCCACGAGGGGTTCGTAGGTGCAGCTGTAATACAAGTCACTAATAATCAGGCAGGCTGTTTCCCCCCAGGGGCAGATGTGGCCACTCTGTGACTGCCACAGCTGTATTTGTCAGACACTTCCAGGCTGCAGATCTGGAGAGGTTGCTTGTAACCCTGGCAAATGCATTCATGTTTTCACATAGCTGCTGGAGGGATGTAACATTCACACTTCAGACGACATCTCGGGTACGCTGACAGGAAAACAGGCTAGTGCCTCACATCAAAGGCTGATTGTTTTATATGTGTTTCCATTGTGGCTGATCACGGTTCCATCGTGGAAAGAGCAAAGGAAGTGGAGAGTGTGTCATCGAGGACATCAAAGCTGTTGCTTGAACTGCCAGGGAGGGCTATCCCGGCACAGCATGTCTCACCAACAGCGTAGAAGGAGGTGGCTCTAGGTCCGCTCAGGCTGCTGTAAGATAAAGCTTGTGGGGAGCGGGGTGCAGCCAGCAGCATGAGAGTAATTGTTGCTATTGAAGTCAAACACCCAAAGTGGCAGGGTGAGGCCAAGGAGGAATGCTTTTTTAAAAAAAGCAATCTCTCCAGTTATCTCCATCTGCTCAGGGCACAGGCTCAGTGTTTAGGACGTATGAGCCCCTGCTGATCCCACCAAGCTCCCCTTGAGAACAAGCTTGGGCCCAATATTAGCTAGGTACTGACCACTGTCATGGAAGGGGTCTTTTGTTGCTGGCAGTCTCATCTCTAGGACCCAGAACAAAGATGCCTTTCTGCTGCTGTCCACTTGGCAGCTGAGTTGCATGTCTCTGGCCCAATCTCACTGGCCTCGTTTATCTCTTAAAATACGCAGGTTTCCATAAGCCACCAAATTCTGCATTTGTCTTTTCCCGATCAGCACAGCACTTAGAGGTACAAGACCCGGTTACATATCAGGGCCATATTTTCTCTCTCATTGTATCCCCTTGTAAGGCAGGTGTTTTATCCCCTGTCTCAGAGGTTGGGTACAATCCCAGACAAGCACCATTTGGAAGTGCCTTTGAGACCCTTGGCTGAATGGTGCCAAGCAGCCTCCCTGCGTTTCATCTTGAAACACTTGGATGCCTATCTTGCTGGGATCATTTGTCCACTACTGACTGCCTGCCCTTTGGGCACAGGGCTGGACCCGATGATCTTGCAAGGTCCCTTGCAGCCCTAATGTCTATGACATCTTAGATTCTCAGCCTCGGTGCTGCCTGGTCATGTGCTAGCAGTCGCTGTGCCAGGCACTGCATGCACACCTCATGCATAGCCTCAGGGATTTAATTGAACAGGGCTGTTTCTCTAATTGGTATTTCTGCTCTACCTGGGGGCCATCTGGATGTGCGGGGGATTCGGCACATGTGCCTGCTGCTCAGTGAATGACTGTGTTGCTTGATCTAGGAGCAAAAACAAATATGTATCCTGGGCACAAGGTGGAATGAAGTGTAACGGGGCGGTTATTGTTGGAGCGGGGCTGACGTGAAGAGCCAGAGGCGTCTGTGATTCTCGTGCTTCATTTCATTGCACAATTCACGGCAGTGAATTTAGATTCAACACCAACATTTTAAGTGAGACAGGCAAAGGGGCGTCCTGCCATTATACAACCATTTTGCCTACATTGGGTAGGCTCTTCCATACTTCAAGAAACATGTGGATGGATTGGAAAGAGTTCAGTGGAGACCAATAAAATGATTAGAGGCTTTTTGGGGGTTATTTAGTTTAAAGAAAAGATTCTTCCACTTAGTCATTGCAGTGTGCAAATGTCTCCGCGTATTTCCTTGGGACAATGCCCAAAGTAAAGTGCAAACTCGCAGTGAGGGAGGGTGGCAGAGTGGGGCCGTCCTGGATGAGAAGTGTGCTAAGTGGTCCCAACACAATTCATAACACCTGAAATTCAAGCTTGCAGGTGAAATCCAACCTGGGCCCACTTCTTTGACATCTCTGGGCTGCCTTTGCCACAGAGAAGCCTTTCCCAGACCATTTTTTGTGCCTGAAAGTTTGCAATTAAAGAATTTTTTTGTGCAAAAATCTACTTGCTCTAATAAAAGATATCACTTCTACCATGAGTTCTGATTCCTTTTCCCAGCCAAGTCACTTTTGTGAATGTAGGTGATCCTGCATGCTCTCACGACCAGGCTGCATGATATATTTTTGACCATGAACTCCTGGGGAGGTGTGAAAACGGGGTGGGAGGACACAGTAATGGGAAACCCCTGCTCAGCATATCCTGTAGGTGAGCCACACTGGGCTCAGCGAGCCAGGTCTCAGGCAGAAGGTCACTCCCAGGCACAGATCAAGGCCTGGGGTTGGGGTCCCGTGTGGCCTCTGACAGAGCTCAGGGGAGTTGCTGTGCAGGAAGGGGCTTGGGTCAGGTTGCACCGAAATGTCTGCAGCAAGCACCCTGAGCATATTTCCTCTGAGCAAAGCAGACAGACAAATCCTCTGCACCAAGCAGGTTACCTGGGGCTCGGAAAAGGTTTTGGCGATGGGCTCTGTTCTCCTCAAGCTTGTCTCCTACCGCCCCTGTAACTCCCTGCTTCTCTCTCTCTCTCTCTCTCTCTCTCTCCTCAGCTCCAATTTCTCATTCACACGCCGTCAGCTCCGCTCCAGCCCCAGCCCGGTCATCCTGAGGCAGCTGGAGGAAGAGGCCAAAGCCAGAGAAGCAGCCACCGCCATGGACATCACCCAGGTTATGAGCAAGCTGGATCGTAGGAACCAGCTCACACAGAAGCAGCCTGTTAAGTAGGTTCCAGATCTTTTAGGGCAGGATGCAGGGAAAAGACAAGGCGAGCCCAGGGCTGAGCTTCCTCTCCCCTACCTGAAGGTGTCAGTGCTGCTTTACCTTTCCAGACCCCTTTCTCCCCGTTGCCATGGCACCCGTAGCAGCCGATGTCACTTTTCAGGCATGTTAGGCATGAAAGTGCTGCTGGAGTGAGGGAGCTGGCTGCGTGCATCATGCATCACGTGGCAGGGCCCATGCTCCATGATTGCTCCCCCCGTGCACCCCGATGCGCAGGGCTGCAGTATTGTTCGGTTGCTCCAACCTGCCCCAGGTCTGGCTGCATCTCTAAGCCTCTGGCATTGCTCCAGCCATGCATTGGAAAATGTGTGCCAGTGCACGAGGCAGAGGTGCCTCTTCCCACCCTGCTCCGAGAGGTTCAAGGGGGACTTCTAGCCTGAGCTGTGAGTCAGGGACAGGTCTGAACTGGGAGCACAGGTGCGCTGCTCCTCCCTTCCAGGGGGTACAGCTCTGGTCCGTCTGCCAGAGCCCCTCGTCAAGCACCTAGCACCCTGCAGCCACAGGAGACGGCAGCGTCTGTGCTTGGGAGCTGCAGTTGTGCTTGGCTGCAGGAGGAGGGAAGTTTCTAGCCAAAGCAATAAGATTAAGCCTTTTAAAAGGCACCAGGTGGTTTGCATTCCCTGTTCCCTGTAATGGCAGCTGGACCTCCCAATCCTGCAGACAGCTTGGGGCCCACAGCCCATGAAGGGGGTCAGTCCTTGTCCCTCTGTCACACATTCATGTGATGAGTTCTGCCCAGGCCTCGTGAGAGCAGGTGTGTGGGTCTGAGAGAGATAGCCAGGGCTGCAGGTTTCCTTTATCTAGCCCTGACTCACATTTGTCTTGTCTTTTTCCTGCTCTGCTATTTCCTGTTGCTCTACAAGAGCGAGTGGTAGTTTCCAGGCATTATCTGGCTTGTAGCCCAGTGGTGTAGAAGCCGCCGTGTTTGGGAAACATCGTTACTGATTTCAACTTCTTGTAAAATAGCATAGTCTCACTTTCCTTTTTCCCCCTGGGGACACAGAGAGGAGCAGGAGGGGGAGTTAAAATCTCAACTACCCACTTCCTTGAGGCCTGTTAGGAAGCCCCTGGGGCTGGATGGTCAGTGGGATGTGATGAGGTTCATGGAAAGCCCTGGCCAGGGCAAGGTGGAAGAATTTATGGGAGGATGGGAAACGGACAGAGGCTGAGCTTGAACCCTTTCGGTCTTGCTCATCCATCACCCTCGCTGGAAGTGAGAAGCAGTCAGACCAGGAGGTAACTGAGAACAGGGTGGAGGATGCATAAAGAACTGCAGAAATGGATTTGCTTTTCTTCATCGGGGCATGAGTTCCCGCCATGGGGGATGGAGCCATGCCAGCTGCAGCCATTGTACAGCCACACAACTGGCTGGGAGCCGGCATGGTCCAGCTCCCAGCGTCGCAGTGGCAGGGAGAGCAAAACGAAATCACAGGTTCGACTACCGTTCCTTTGGAGCATCGTGCTGCAGCCCCGCCTGGCCCCAGCCGGCCAGGAAACCCCCTTGGAGGTGCACAGCAGAGACACAGGAGGTGCCGTGCGGCAGTCCACAGGGGGACATGAGGGCGAGAAGTTAGGCACCGATATCCAGTGCTCCTGGTAGTTTATTGCTTTGGGCTATACCTTGAGGTGCTTTCTCAAGGTACAAGATGATGGGAATGGTGGTCCCCAGTCACCTTCATTCCATCTGGGGCTTTATATCTGCAAGGTGAAAACGGGTCCTAACATACCGGGCCTAAAGGGGGCCAAAGGCATGTCTTTACTGTTCTCACATCCATTGATCCCACTGAGCTGCAGCTCCCTAGGCACTCAAGTGCTAAACCAGCCTAATGAACCCTGTCCTTGGAGGCAGAGTGCATTACCTTTGAAACCATATGAGAAAAGGCTAGGCTGGGATTTTTAAAGGAGCCCAAGAAAGAGGAACCCAAGTCCTGTGGATGTGCACTTGGCTCTTTTCAAACCCCTCGTACAAGCGTGCAAATAGTACCAGGTTCCACTCGCACTTTATAATACCACACTACTGCAGCCCCCGGATTGGGGTCCGAGCCCATAGCATCCCGTCCTGTGATGCCAGACCTAGGTGAATATATATAGACCGTGCATATCAGAGCAAGCTGTAGTTCAATATGTTGCAGACAGTTTAGAAATAGGCAGAGAACTGATGTGGGCTTTCACAGGAACATCCAGCATTAGAATAAGAAAACCCCGCAAGATCTGTAGACGGGCTATAAACCCTCGTGTCTCAGGTCATGAACCAGCCTGTAACTAACAGGGGACAGGTTGATTATTCCCTAACTGCCTCCTCAGTCATATTTTGTGCCCACCTTCGAAGCAACTGGGCAGGATACAGGGTGCTTTCACCCAGTCTGGTGGTTCCTGGGAACCTTTTGGTGTCACTGAAGAATGAGAAGAGCTCCTCTTCTGATACCTCATTGCAGTGCTTGAGGTGTTCACGACCGGTGTCAGCGGCTGTTCATCTTGCCTAGAGGAGCTGAAGCAAAATAAGTAACGTGGTCTCTACTCTGATTTCAAGGCCTGCCAGCCAAGGCCCTGCTCCGGCACCTAAAGATGTTAATGCCAAAGCGCCTGTTGCCTTCGGCAGGGATGAAGCTCGATAGGAGCAGGATGAGGCTGTAAATCCTCAAAGTCGGGTTATGCTTGGAAGGATCGGTTCTGTAAGGTGCTGAGCATGGTCAGCAGCCTTTAACTTAAATGGTTATTGAGGGTGCTTAGCACTTGGCAGGCTTGGTCGAAGGCTATTTGAATCTCCCAAAAGCTAAATGAGACCAGGGAACATGGGAGATTTCCTGTCTCCCGGAGGGGACCGCTGTGGTACAAACAGCAGCAGTGACGCAGGGTCCAAGAAATCTACCTGCTGCAATGTTTATTTGGTTTCTTGATATGATTTTATTTCTCATCTCCATCAGTTGTTTTTCCCACATTCGGCATAGTCCCCACCCTTGCATAGACATTGCTTCTCTTGGCTACTATCACTGGATATTAAATGTAAATTGGAGTTTATATCATATTAGTCCAGAAATTAATTGTTCGTGTTGGATTTCAGAGCGCTGCTTGGTTTTATTTCTCTGCCATCATCCCCATGCGTTCCTTGCTTCTGCTCACCTGTCTAATAAAAATGAATGTAGAAAGTGAAAAAGAGCAGAGTGTTTGTCCTTCATTGCATTGTCTCTTTGCCATGCATGTATTTTGTTGGGAGTCGGGGCCATTACCTTTAATATTTTTGTTTAAATGTTGAGCTTATCTTTATTTCTGCTGGCACAGATTCATTTGGAAGTTTTGGGGGAAACCTAAGAGGTGTACTCTAAGATAAAACCATAGGCCAGTTATCTTCACGAGCCTGTGTCACCTTCTGATGAGCATGTGCTATAGGTTTCCTGCTGTGCTCAATCTGTGGAGGATGTGAGTCTGGTAGGGGCCCAGCTGAAAAAGCCTAATTCTTTAGCTTAAGATGTAGCCGTGCGTGTTTGTAGACCTGGAGTCCCTGGTTCTGTCCTCAGTCTGTTGAGCAGTCATCACATCTGTATGCTCAAGTCAGATTTTAGCCTGGCTATGCCACCCATTACCAAAATCAAGGTCCCAGCCTCACTATATGCTTTAACAACAAGGCGTTATAGTTGTCCAAGACTCCTAGATTACAACTAACCTCTGTAACAAAATCGGCAAGTTGAATCCTTTGCAGTGATCTGCCCAAGCTAAATCCAGCATTCACTGAAATCAATAGAAATTCTTCCACTGATAACAAATGGATGATGAATTAGGACCCAGCTATCCTCCTGATCCTGCTTATGACCAACCTGTGGATGTGCTTAAAGGTAAACTAATTCTGTCTAGGTTGCAGCTATGCTGGAGATGTGCAGGCTTTCAGGGAAGTAGTGATTTCCCAAAGGTGGGCTGATACCGATAGCTCCTCTGTCTGTCTGTGTACTTTACTGCTTCTTCCTGCTCACTCGTGGAGGTAGGTCTCTGACACTTACTGAACTCCCTGTTCCCACTGACAGTATCAGCTCCTTCCCTCCTGCCATGCTTGGCCCTGGCCTCTGACATGAAATGAGTTCCCCGTCTATTCTCTCATTCCTGCCTGGGTGTTGTCCACACACTAGACAGAAGAAGTGTCAGGTTGTTCTCTGCAGTTCCAGCTGTACTTACAGGTGGCTGCATCAACCATCACCCATTTCCTTGGAGACCTGAGACCTTTAAGGCCAATGTGAAGGACCAGGGAGGATGGAAGTATGAGGGAGAGTTGTTGGGGACAAGAAGCAAGTTTTCCAAAATGTCACTGAGATACACGGGAGAGGTCATGAAGGTGACTTCTGCTTGTCAGAAAGTCCTCCGAGCACCGAGCACCACCCCAGCCAGGAAGGCAGAGAGCAGAATCCCTCTCATCTTCGCCTCTTGTGAAAAATGTTGCGTTGTTGTCAGGGTGGCTGCAGTATTTGTCAGGGATTTGATATTTTCCTCTTGTTCCCAAGCTCCTTTTTCCTTTGTTCTTCCAGGAGGTTTGTTCTCTATTTTTTTTTCTTTCTTTCTCAGTCTTCCCTCTTGTAGGGGTATGTATGTGTGTATGTGTATGTATGTGTGTGTGTGTGTGTACATATATATTCATACACACACAATAGGAACTACATGTTATCATATATATAGAGATATAGATCTCAATATAGAGATCTGTAGATCTATATAGATCTATATATATAACTAGATCTAGCTACAACTACGTTATCATATGTAGAAAGATCAAGCTATATATATATATATATATATATATCACTATATATATGCATGTGTGTGTGTGTGTATACACACCACTATATATATATATATATATATATGTATGTATGTGTGTGTGTGTATATATATATATACACATATATATATATAGAGGCTATATATATATATAGCTTGTATGTGTGTATGTGTGTGTGTGTATACACACACACACACATAGCTAGATCTATGTATATATAGATATATATGATGATAAGATGTAGTTGTTATTGTTGAGGAGTTGAGGAGCCCAGCACAGGCAACCAGCCAGAACAAAATCACATATCCGCCTCTTGCCTCTGTCTCTGAAGCGGGGCAGTGAGGAAGGCACTGTCCTTTCCCCGGTGCCCAGATCCTCTGAAGAGAACGCTGTTGTATCCCTGGAGAAAAGAGAATAATACAGTTTTGTAGTGAAGAAAAGCTGGCAACTGTCCTGCGCTGCAAGAACCGGCTGACCAGGAGACACAGTCGGTGACACCTGCTTGAACAGTATTGCAGCCATCTCTACTCCTACGGGAGGCAGGATACGAATCTGCTGGAGACCAGGGCTCTCTCCTGGACAAGTCTCTTCTGTGCTCCATTTTTGCCTGAAGAGAAGATGAAGGTCTCCCCCTGCATCCTGCACAAAAGGCTTCGTGATCTCAGGATGAAAAGAGAGCTTCGGCCCCACAGCTGACTCTGAGAGACAGGTCTCCAGGCAAACGCACTTTGGAGCCATCAGACCCATTTGCAGATCTGATCTCTGCAACTGGGACCTGTCTTCTTACCGAGGAGCTCACATTTCAAAGTCTGGGGCTGGATTGCTCCCAGCTTGCAGTGCTCCTAGGGCGATATTTGCTCAGATTGTTACTGATGGCCTTCAAATGCAAGTTCAGATCCTGGGCCAACTGGACCCAGGGTCCTGGGGCCCTTTGTACTGAGTTCAAGCCCATGTCTTGCAGGGATGTGAGCCCTTACGTTCCCAAGGCAGTAGGATCTAGCCTCTGCCATGTGGGGACTGCAGTAGTTTGACCTAGCTGCTGTCATCTTCTCTTTGTCCTGTTCTTTCTCCTCCTCTCTCCTTTTTTCTGGGTTATTTCTCCCACTTTTTACCTTTCTCTCCACGTTTTTTTTTACTGCCTGTATTTTTGCTTTGTGCCCCAAAGACATCACAGATTCTCTCACTGGCAACCTGCTGCTCAGGCGGGGGGACTTTATGGAGCCGAGTCCTACGTGCTGCCTGGTTGAGAGACCAGTTAGCTGCTGTTAGACCAGAGGAGATCAGTTTAGATGAGCAATGCATGGTTTAGTCCCCATGTCAGACAGTTACTTTTCCCTTACAGGCCACCTCCTTTCCCTCCTATGTTGGAAAATTGTAGCCTAAATATTCATCCCCCTGACCAGAGCACCAGCTGCAAGCCATAAACCTGTTTTGCTATCCAAGCATTTGCTTACTGGATAGCTCTTAATATTCATCCTCATTTATATGACATAGTAAACAAGCATAGGGGTGAATCAGTGCCAGACGGATAGCATGTCCCTGCTGCAATTCATCCAACAACACCCACAATACTATATACATCACATACAGGGAGGCCAGGTCTTTTAGACCTGAGGACGCGAGCCTCTGAAGTTGAGCGAGTTCATACTAGAGCCTTTATCCTGTCTTGGGGCTAGTCTGTAGAGGGCAATATCACAGCGTCACTCACAAACACAATCTACCTACCTAGCTAGCTAGGTTCTTGCACTCTTCTCATTTCTATCACTTACAAGCACCAGTACATTATACAGACCAAAGGGCTTCCAGTCTCGGAGGGGATTATTTCCAGTTGGCAGCCAGACAGAGGAGTCAGAGTCTCAGGGGTTTGTGTCCTGTGACTCACCGGCTGCTTTTCCTGATCTAAAGTGTCTCCTTTTCTTCCCTGCAGTTGTGTCAGTTCACTGCTCCAGTCCCTCACCTGGCTGTGTACACCGGTACCTGTGCTCCTCCGTCACCATCAAATCCATCCCCCTCCTGCCTCATCCCAACTAACCTTCCTCTCCAGTCCCCCGGACACGTCGCTCTGCCAAACAGTGCTGTCTGCCCCTCACCCATTAGCGTAGCTCTAGAAAGTGCCCCTGGCTTGGAAATGAAGTGGGAAACCAGCGGGTCCAACTCGAGCCACTTTCCTTCCATCACTGAGAGCACCGAGATCTCCACAGACTCTGAATCGGGCCCTTGCAATAGCCAGGTACCTGGGCACGTGGACACCAAGGTGCCTCCCAAATCCCGGATGAGCTTGTCCTTCAGCAGGTTGTTGAAACGGGGATGTTTAAACTCGCCGGTGTTTGCGACTCTCTCACCAAAGTGCCCGGCAGTGCCTCACGGGAAGGTCCAGCCCCTGGATGACCTGGAACAGCAACTGCAGCAGACCTCCAAGCGAGTGACCAAGTAAGTATCCCTGCACCGTGCCCCCTAACGCTCTCCTCTGGGCAGACGGGCAGCCTGGGTGGGACCCTCCAATGCTGGTCTCTGCACGCTGGCGCTGGGCCCCTCGTGCCGTTATCCTTCTCGGTGCTGAAATGATGGAGCAGCAATGTCTCCAAGAGCACCCCCTGCACAGAGCAGGGCAGACAGGGATGCAGCCACGTGTCTCTGCGTTATGGCAGCTCTCGACTCTGCAGAATCATATAGGACCGTAAGAAATAGATGTACGTGAGACTGCTCTGACCTTGCGCTGACGGCCAGAGAAAGCGCCGAACAGTCGCAGGGTTGGAGTACGCAAGGGGTGGCTCCGAGCCCGCGCATCTCTATACTCCGCACGGGGGTAAAGTGAGACCTGCGAGCTTTGCTTCTCACAGGGGAGTGAGGAAAAAGCCCCGAGAGGTCTAAGCAAGGGCAGCTAGCGGAGGACAGCAAGCCAGGGCCTTTTGCCCGAGGAAGGGCTTCCTTTCATGTCACATTCATTGCGGGATTTTGAGATTTTTGCCCCTCGATGAGAGGTGTCCCCTCCCCGCAGGGCCCGTAGATACAGGGGCTGCCTCAAGGGTTTGCCCCACCTCAGTGAAAAATCTCTGGCCCAGATGCCTGAAACGTTGCAAAGCTCGGCTTTTCCTTCAGGTGTTTTGGGAGGTCAGAACAAGGAGCGAGCGGATGAGGAGGGAATCATGCAGGTGGCGAATGCCTTCGATTTGTGCAATGGTGGTGACCGGTTATTCTCCCGAACCCCTCCGCTCCCAAGAAGGCACCCGGGGCTGCCACCCCAGCTCCCCCCCCAGGGCAGGCCTTCAGGGACGGGGGCTAATGGCTGGTGCTGAAGGAGGCATCAGCATCACCGGCACTGGGGAGCCAGCGCAAGTGAGACCATGGTGGAGAAGAGCCGGGTTGCTCCCGGGGCCATTTTTCACCTATGCCACTAACACAAAACCCCTGGGCAGTGCTAACCCCATGCCCCTGCTTCTCCTCAGGTAGCCCAGCCTGCATTAACCAGCCCCGCCTGACAGCCACTTCCCCCGGTGCACAA